GCCCATCTGTTGTAGGGTACTTCCCACTTTCTCTTCTATCAGTTTCAGTGTGTTCAGATTGATATTGAGGTCTTTAATCCATTTGGACTTGAGATTTGTGCATGGGAGATTTGTGCATGGTGATAGATATGGGTCTATTTTCATTCTTCTACAGGTTGAAATCCAGTTCTGCCAGCACCATTTGTTGAAGATGCTTTCTTTCTTTCATTGTATAATTTTAGCTCCTTTGTCAAAAATCAGGTATTCATAGGTTTGTAGGTTAAAATCCGGGTCTTCTACTCGATTCCATTGGTCGACGTCTCCGTTTTTTATAATACCATGCTGTTTTCATTATTGTAGCTCTGTAATAGAGTTTGAAGTCAGGGATGGAGGTAATGCCTCCAGAAGTTCCTTTATTGTATAAGATTGTTTTGGCTATCTTGGGTTTTTTGTTTTTCCATATAAAGTTGATTATTGTTCTCTCAAGGTCTGTGAAGAATTTTGTTGGGATTTTAATGGGGATTGCATTCAATTTATAGATTGCCTTTGGTCGAATTGCCATTTTTACTATATTGACCCTACCCATACAAGAGCATGGGAGGTCTTTCCATTTTCTGGTGTCCTCTTCAATTTCTTTCTTCAATGCCTTAAAGTTCTTGTCAAATTGATCTTTCACTTCCTTGGTTAGTGTTACCCCAAAATACTTTATGCTATTTGTGGCTATTGTAAAAGTTGAAGTTTCTCTGAATTCCCTCTCTGCTTCTCTATCTTTTGTGTATAGGATGGCTACTGATTTTTTTTTTGAGTTGATCTTTAACCTGCCACTTCACTGAACTTATTTATCAGCTGTAGGAGTTCTTTGGTAGAGGTTTGGGGGTCACTAATGTACACTATCATATCATCTGCAAATCATGAAAGTTTGACTTCTTCCTTTCCAATTCGAATCCCCTTGATCTCCTTATTTTGTCTTATTGCTATTGCTAGAACTTCAAGCACTATATTGAAGAGGTATGGAGAGAGTGGACAGCCTTGTCGTGTTCCTGATTTTAGTGCAATGGCTTTGAGTTTCTCTCCATTTAATTTTATATTAGCTGTTGGCTTGCTATATATTGCTTTTATTATATTTAGGTATGATCCTTGTATCTCTAACCTCTCCAAAACCTTTATCATAAAGGGGTGTTGAATTTTGTTAAATGCTTTTTCCGCATCTAATGAAATGATCATATGGTTTTTTCTTTCAATTTATTTATGTGATGGATTACATTGATAGACTTTTGTATGTTGAACCAGCCCTGCATCTCAGGGATGAAGCCTACTTGATCATAATGGATAATTTTTTAATGTGTTCTTGGATTCTGTTTGCCGGAATTTTATTGGGGAATTTTTGCATCAATGTTCATGAGTGAGATTGGTCTGTAATTCTCTTTCATGGATGGGTCTTTGTGAGGTTTTGAAATCAGGGTGACTGTAGCTTTGTAAAAAGAGTTTGGCAATGACTCCTCTGGTTCTATTATGTGAAACTCATTAAGGAGCATAGGTATCAGCTCTTCTTGGAAGTTCTGATAAAATTCTGCATTAAAACCATCAGGTCCTGGGCTTTTTTTTTTTTTTTTTGGTTGGGAGTTTTTTTTTATGACAGCTTCTATTTCCTCACAACTTATAGGTCTATTTAAATTGTTCACCTGGTCTTGATTTAATTTTGGTAAATGGTACTTATCTAAAAAGTCCATTTCTTTTACATTTTCCAATTTTGTGGCATACAGGCTTTTGTAGTAAGAACTAATGATTCTCTGAATTTCCACAGTATCCATTGTTATGTCCCCCTTTTTATTTCTGATCTTGTTAATTTGTATGTTCTCTCTCTGCCATTTGATTAGTTTGGATAAAGGTTTGTCAATCTTGTTGACTTTCTCAAAGAACCAGCTCTTTGATTCATTGATTCTTTGGATTGTTTTCTGTGTTTCTATTTTGTTGATTTCAGCCCTCAATTTTATTATTTCCAGTCTTCTACTCCTCCTGGGTGAGTCTGCTTCTTTTTTTTCTAGAGCTTTCAGGTGTGCTCTTAATTCTCTAATATGAGCTTTCTCCGTTTTTTTAATGTGGGCACTTAGAGCTATGAACTTTCCTCTTAGCACTGTTTTTATAGTGTCCCATAGGTTTGTGTATGTTGTGTCTTTATTTTCGTTGAATTCAAGGAAGACTTTAATTTCTTTCTTTATTTCTTCCCTGACCCAGGGGTGGTTCAGTAGTTGACTGTTCAGCTTCCAAGAATTTGTAGGCTTTCTGGGGGTAGAATTATTGTTAAATTCTAACTTTATTCCATGTTGATCTGATAAGACACAGGTGGTTACTAATATTTTTTTTGTATCTGTGGAAGTTTGCTTTGTTACCGAGTATGTGGTCAATTTTCAAGAAGGTTCCATGAGATGTGAGAAGGTATATTCTTTCCTATTTGGGTGGAATGTTCTATAGAAGTCCATTTGATTCATTACCTCCATTAATTCTCTTATCTCTCTGTTAGGTTTCTGACTGATTGATCTGTCCATTGGTGAGAGAGGAGTGTTGAAGTCTCCTACTATTAGTGTGTGTGGATTGATGTCTGCCTTTGAGTTCTAGCAATGCTTCTTTTACATAAGTGGGTGCTTTTATATTAGGGGCATAGATATTCAGGATTGAGACGTCATCCTGATGAATTGTTCTTGTTATGAGTATAAAATGTCCATCTCCATCTCTTCTGATTGATTTTAGTTTGAAGTCAATTTTGTTAGAAATTAGTATGGCCACGCCCGCTTGTTTCTTGGGTCCATTTGCTTGAAAACCCTTTTCCCAACCCTTTACTCTGGGTAGATGTCTGTCTTTGTGGTTGAGGTGTGTTTCTTGTAAACAGCAGAATGTTGAATCCTGTTTTCGTATCCAATCTCTTAGCCTGTGCCTTTTTATAGGTGAATTGAGTCCATTGACATTAAGTGATATTAATGACTAGTGGTTGTTAACTCCGGTTTATTAATGTTGTTTTGGGTAGTAGTCTGTGTTTCCCTTCTTTGAGTTGTGCTCATGAAGAGTCGCTAGATGTCTGAGTTATTGTGGGCATTGTTAGATTCCTTGGTTTGTGATTTTCCTTCTATTCCTTTCTGTAAGGCTGGATTTGTGGCTACGTATTGTTTACATTTGTTTTTATCCTGGAATATTTTGTTTTCTCCATTGATAGTGAACAAAAGCTTGGCTGGGTATAGTAGTCTGGGTCTCTTAGTTACTGCAGTACATCTATCCAGGACCTTCCGGCTTTCATGGTTTCCATAGAGAAGTCAAATGTAAGTCTGATAGGTTTACCTTTATAAGTTACTGGACCTTTTTCCTTTGCAGCTCTTAATATTCTTTCTTTATTCTGTATGTCTTGTGTTTCGATTATTTTATGGCGAGGGGATTTTTTTTTTGGATCCAGTCTATTTTGTGTTCTGTATGCTTCTTGAACCCTCATAGGAATGTCTTTCTTTAGGTTGGGAAAGTTTTCTTCTATAATTTTGTTGAATATATTTTCTGGGCCTTTGAGCTGTAATTCTCCTTTTTCTACACCTATTATTCTTAGGTTTGGTCTTTTTATTGTGTCCCAGATTTCCTGAATGTTTTGTGATGAGAATTTGTTGGATTTGCTGTTTTCTTTGACTAGTGCGTTTATTTTTTCTATGGTGTCTTCAGAATCTGAGATTCTTTCTTCTATCTCTTGTATTCTGTTGGTTATACTTGTCTCTGTAGTCTCTGTTCTTTTACCTAGATTTTCCATATCCAGCCAGCCCTCGGTTTATGTTTTCTTCATTGCCTCCATTTCAGTTTTCAAGTCTTGAACTGTTTCCATTATCTGTTTGATTGTTTTTTTTTCTTGGTTTCCTAGGGTATCTTTTATGGATTTACTCATTTCTTCAAACTTTTTGTTATTCTTCTCATCCATTTCTTTTTTTTTTTTTTTTGGTTTTTTCGAGACAGGGTTTCTCTGTGGTTTTGGAGCCTGTCCTGGAACTAGCTCTTGTAGACCAGGCTGGTCTCGAACTCACAGAGATCCGCCTGCCTCTGCCTCCCGAGTGCTGGGATTAAAGGCGTGCGCCACCACCGCCCGGCCCCTCATCCATTTCTTTAAGGGAGTTTTTCACCTCCTGTTTAAGGGACTCTTTCACTTTCATAATGTCAATTTTTTCTACTTCTTCTGGATTAGGGTGTTCAAGTCCTCCTGTTGTAAGTTCGCTGGGTTCTGGTGTTTTCATGTTGTTTTTCAGATTGTTAGAGGAATTCTTGAATTGGTGCCTGCCCATCTCTTCCTTCAAATGATCTCCGATGGATCTTCTGATACAGGATCAGGGCCCCTTGCTGGCCAGGGACCTCACAGACAAAAGGAGTTTCTTCATACTGGGTTGGCCTTAAGTCCAGTTAGACATCTGTTGTTTGCTTCCATGAGATATGTACCACTACTGGACCTTGGGGTCATTGTGGTTCATAGTTTCACAGCTGGTCAGGACTATTGATTGGTTTTCTTCCTTAGCAGCTTGCATGGCACTTTTGTCATTTAGAGATCTAATCATCAGGTAGGAAGCTTTCAGGTCAGTTCCAGCTCAGTTGATTCCTGATTGTATGGTGTCTCAGCTATTGGGTCTTACCTTCAAGTTCTAAGAGGCAGCCAAGGGAGATTGCAGTAGTGTGTGTGTGTGTGTGTGTGTGTGTGCGCGTGTGTGTGTGACGCGCGCGCGTGTGTGTATACACACATACGTGTGCACGCGCATGCATACACATACACACACATATATCCTCTCTCTCTCTCTCTCACACACACACACACACTATATGTATGTTTAAGTAAGCATGAAATGTTCCTGTGGCCTTTTCAAACATCCTTAATATTATTTATCCCTTCACCTTTTGTCTCCCTTTGTACTGACCTCCTTTTCCCTTTCCATTTAACTTCTGAGCTATCTCTCCATTGCCTTTGCTTTATTTTTGAGGCTTATTAATTTTGTTTTGTGCATTTTCTTCAGGGATTTTTAGCTCCTGGAGAAATTGATCCCCTGAATCGTAGGTTTTCTACTGTGCCAAAGCCAGATGTGGTGGTTCAAGGTATGTATTACTCCCAGCAATAGAAATTTTATATTAAAGGTCTGATTAGGGGGAAAGATTTGGGGACTTTGTGTTAGGGTTCAAAAAGTATGTAATAAATGTGGTTCAATTTTGTTTCAAAATTACGGTTAATAATAAACAAATAAAAGATGATCTCAGAAGATTATAAAATATTTGATACGACTTATTTCTGGAAACTTTAAAATTTCATGATATGTTATTCCCCTGGTTACTGTTACTTTCTTTTTAACCACATTTTCTGTTTTTCATGCTAGTATTCCTTTATTTTCATAACCTCCTACGCATTTATATTTTCTCTGTTTTAGACTGTTAGACCTGCATCCCTCATAGTTCATTTGCTTCTGACCATTGCCTCACTGGGGAGTATGTCTACAATTTTTTAAATGTGAAGGTATATACATTATGCAAAACACTGAGCTGAATACTCTAAACATTAAGAAATCCAAGTCTTTGGGTGTGTGTGGTAGTACATGTGTTTAATCATAGCACTTGGGAACCAAAGGCAGGCAAATCACTGTGAGTTCAATAGTAGCTTGTTCCATATCAAGAGTTCCAGGACAGCCAAGGATACATTACCAGACTGTCTTAGGGTTTCTATTGCTGTGAAGAGACACCACAACCATAGCAATCCTTCTAAAGGAAAAACATTTAATTGGAACTGGCTTATACTTCAAAGGTTTCATCCATTATCCTGGTGAGAAGCATGGTAGCACACAGGCAGACATAGTGCTGGAGAGGTAGCTAAGAGTTCTATATTGGAATCAGCAGGCAGCAAGAAAAGGGAGTGAGCCACTGACTCTGGCTTGGGCTTCTGAAATCTTAAAGCCTACCCCAAGTGACACACTTCCTCCAACAGGCAGTCCAACAAAGTCCACACATCCTAATCCTTTCAAATAATGCCTGTGAGCCTGTGGGGGGCATTTTGATTCAAAACCACAGGGACCCTTTCTCAAAGGACAACTATCCTAGTCTAATATCTGTGAATAATCTTTATATGATGAACACAAAGCTGGCCTCTTTTGTCATCCTCCCCTCCTTTTACCTCTCCCAGAAAAGGTCAATATTTTTACCTTCCTTGTTTCTTTTGAAAATATTAACCATCGTCCTTGTTTGTGAGAGTAGACATCTTGATGTGAATTTTCACTCTCCAACATCACTCCTGAATATGGTGTGTCCTGCTGTAAAGCTTCTTAAGATATTCCTAGTCATTTGACTTTTCGGTTGATTCTGAATGGAAAATCCAACATGTTTTCTAAAGCATCTTATACTTGACACTCTGTGTGATCATATAGGTAGTCTTTGCTTCTCAGTGTCTCTAGCAAATGTTTTATAAAGTGTAGCATGAATAATAAAAACCAAGAGACAGAAATTGGACTTCAACCATTATTCTTCATCCCCCATGAGAAGGTATGTTTTCCTTTGAGGTTTAAACCTTCTAGCTGTGCTGATATTCTCTTTGTTCTAATTCATAGTTTATGACTTTGAGGTTCAATTCACAGCCTTCTTTCTCTTCCCCAAATTCTGTCATAAAACTAGATTTCAGCATTGGTATGGATTTAATCTACTATTTTTAACCTTAAAATTTTTTAATATCATGACTCTAGAACCCTTTCTCTGTACCTCTATGTTTGGTACCCCATTCTAGTTACTTTTCCTTTTGCTCTTATGACCAAACACCATGACTAAGGCAGCTTATAAAAGAAATCATTTAATTTGGGGCTTAGACTTCCAGAAGGTTAGAGTTCATGAGCATCACATTGGAGAGCATGACAACAGGCAGTCAGGCATGATGCTGGAGCACTAGCTGAGAGCATACATTCATATCAACAGATAGATGGCAGAAAGAGAGAGAACTAGCTGAGAATGACGTGGACTTTTGCTACTTCCTCTGACACACTTCCTTCAAAAAGGCCATACCTCTTAATCCTTCCCAAATGTTTCCACTAATGGAGACTAAGCATTTAAATAAGGCCTCTGGGGCCCTTCTCATTCAAACCACCATACACACCACTGGTCAAATTTTGGACCTTATAGGTATTCTTGTGTTCTGCTAACAATGCATCTCAGCTTTCTTTTTCTTCCTTTTAAAGTTGTCTCTAATTTCTGTAAGTCTGCTCTTTGTACCTAAAGATCATCTCAATATTTTGATCATCTAACTACTCCAATTACTGCTGCCTCATACTTCTGCTCTATCTCCCAAAGTGTTATAGTTCTAGAGCAATCATGTGGTCTACACTTTCTTATCCTATACCTACTAAAAGATATTATAAGGGAAAAGCACATGATGAGCAGAGTGGTGGCATTGAACAACCATGGTTCCCAACTCAACTTCTGGTTTGTTAGTCTTTGTTCTTATCTTTAGTCAGTATTTTCTTTATTCACAGCCAGTATAACAAAGTACTCGATTTTGTTCAGCTGTGCCCTGTTTTCAACCTAATATTTGGACTGATACTTCATGCCTGATTATTCTAATATTCTGATTTTTTTTCAATTTCCCAACACTTCCCACCCCCAGCATTCTTACCCATCCTTGCTTTCTTTTTTCTAGTCTCAGAAAAAGGTGCTCTCCTATTCAATACAAATTTCCCTGTTGGTGCTTCATCCTATATTCTTCTTTACAAACAATCCTTTTTGAAATATTAAGACTTCCCCCAATCCAGTTTCTTTATCTACTATGTTAATCTCCATTTGTGGCTTCTTTTCACATTGATATTTCTGTCTCTTCATAGTCTATTAATTCTCCAGACCTTTAGAGCCTGGTTTAATACTCTGAAAATATTCTTGCTTAGTTTCCAGAGACCTTGGTATTGTCAGTATTAATAGATATTTTATAATCGGTATATTAGCAGCAGATCTTTTAGATCAACTTGTTATTTATCATTCTAGAAACTGAATTTCCAGAGTGTCCATGTTATGCTTTTGTATATCTCCTTCAACCTGTTTTAAGTACTTTTCTACCTTATTCTGGACTTTCTTTTCTTCCTTTTCCCTTGAACTATTGGTATTTCTGGGAATTCTGTCCATAGCCTACCACTTGTCTTGCTCCTAATAATTAGTCATATTCCCCACCTTCTTCAGTCTTCCTTCACTTTCACATGATGACCCTACTTCCTGTGCTAGAAAGAAAATATAAGCTATAAGACAATAACTTATCCTTCCCCCCCCCCAGACTTTGCTATCTATCTAGTCCTGAATTTTCTCAAAGTTATATTCTGGGTCCTCTTCTCTTGATAATATATTTTTGTCCCATCTCATCTGTTTCTAATGTCTTCTGACAGTCCCACATGTTTCCATGCACTGTAGACTAAACATAACTAAATTTGATCAGCTGGTTCCTCCTACTGCATCATCTATGCCTACGATTCCTTCTGCACCTCTATCATTAAATGGCACATGATACTCCCAGCTACACAAATGAACACTTTCAATTCATATTTATTCTTCTCTGATATTCTGTATTTATATAACAAGTTCTAGAATTTTACTTCTCCAGTCATTCTGAAATCCATCCTGTTTTTGACAATTCCAATAGCTTACTATTAATGTAAGTTATCAACATCTCCTCCTTACATTACATTAATTTTGAACTGATGTTTGCCTTCCGTCGAGGCCCAGTAATGCCTGTCAATTCATTCGATTCTTTTAAAAATTACTGTAGACCACACAAAGAAATGGCCATTCATTCTTTAATTATTGAGTGTATTATTTTTAAGGTACAACTCTGCAGGGGCTTCCTATCTTAGCTCTCTCGGTATGGCTTACAAGGACTCTGTATGATCTAACACTGGACCTTGTATTTTACTTCATTTCTCACCACTGTTCCTCCACACTCCATTCCTATTACAAAGGAATTTTCAGAGCTGTGGGTTTAGTTCAGTGGTACAAGTGGCTGACTGTTCTGTGAAGGCTTGGATTCATTCCCTAGCACAATAGGAAGCAAAACAATAAAAGCTAACTTTTTGTAACTTTGTACATGCTGTCTCTTTAATCTGAAACAGTTTCTCCCTTATTTTTACCATCACCTCTCTCAGAATAACTCCTTTCTGTTCTCCATCAGGACTCATTATGCCTATGTATATATCCGTAGCATCTGACATTTGACTCTAAATATTTTATAAATATAAACAAGAATTTAGTTGCTTGGGTTGAATGTACTCCTAGTGTCTCAAAGGGTTATTTGCTTGCTTCTCCTTTAACCCCTTCTGTTCCTGTAAACAACTCTATTGCTCCCTATAGAACCCTGCAGTTCTATAGAACGCAGCTTGGGAAACAGTTCCCAACAATAATATACAAAACTTTAAAATAACACCTATTCTTCCATGATTAGCCTAACCCCTATCTACTTTTCCATTTTCATGTCTTTTACTGTTTGGTAAGATCTTTCATACTATAACATTGAAGTCTGTGTAGGTTTGCTACTGTCCTCCCCAACATTCCTATCAACTTTAAAACAGTTATGCGTATGGGCATTTTGCCTGGATGTATGTGAGTACCTGGTGCCTGTGGAGTCCCGAAGAGGGAATCAGATCCTTTGGAACTGGAGTTAAAGAAGTTTATGAGCTATCATGTGGGTACTGAGGACTAACCCTGGGCCCTCTGGATGAGATGCCAGTGCTCTTAATTGCTGGTCTGTCTCTTCAGCCCCTCATTCATTTTTTTCCTCCTGACCATTTTACTCATTATTTCAAGTCCAGTTAGCCACCAGCTCTTTCAGGCTACCTTCCTTTATTTATTTATATTTTAGTGCATATGGGTGCCTTGTCTTCACGTATGTCTGTGCACCAGTATGTGTACCTGGTGCCCTCAGATGACATCAGATCTCCTGGAACTGAGTTACAGATAGTTGGTTCTAAGCCACCATGTGGGCATTGGGAACAGAACCTGGGTCCTCTGGAAAAGCAAGAGCTCTTAAATACTGAGCCATCTTGTGGTTAAAATTTTCCATTTCAACATGGAGTCTCATAAATACTGAAAGTGCCTTTCAGTAGGCACAAATAGGTACCTAGTCAAAAATCAAGTCTCTAGTCGTGTTATTACTTTCCCATTTATGTAATATTTTAATCTAGAATAATTACTGATTAGTCAGAATTCCTTAGCAATAATTTCCTCCTCTTTCCTCCTCTAAAAGAAATTATGCACTTGAAAATATTTTTAAGGGTCTGAAGAGATGACTCAGCTTAACTATTGGAAGCACTTGTTCTTCCAGGGGACCTACCGGGACCAGGTTCACTTCCCAGAATCCACATGGTGGCTTATAACTGTTCATAACTCCAATTTTAGGGGATCCAATACCCTCTTCTGACCTCCATTGGCACCAGGGTAGCATACGATGCGTGGACAGACATACATATAGGCAAAATACTCATACACATGAAATAAATCTAAAAAATATTTTTAAAGTTTCTACTGAACAAAAACCTTCTGTTAACTTCATCTTTCTTTCCGATAGTGTCCATTCTAGCTGAAACAGAAGAAATCAAGGCCATTTTGAAGGACAAAGGAATTGATGTGGAGACCATTGCCGAGGTGTACCCTATCAGAGTACAGCCAGCTCGTATTCTTAGCCACATTTATTCCAGTCTAGGTAAGGAGGTTGGCCAGCTTACTAGAATTAAAGTGTTATGTGATGCTGGCTGGTTTCTTTCTATTAACCTGCTACTTTAATTGGATCCAAAAAGGAATTTAGTCTCTGGAATTCCAGTTTCTGAACCCATCATTTTTGAGGTTGATAATTTTAGATGTACTTTATGCATACTTTGTCATGTAGCACATACTTGTTTTCAGATAATATTATATCCTTATTCTAAATGTATATTTGACTACCATGTTCTCCCCTTTCTTAGGACTTATATTTCTATTTTGAAGACACGCTAATTTTATATAGAGTAGTGATCAAGGAACTTGTTTTAGGCCTTTTATACTTTTTCATGTAGTAAACAAATTATTATAATAATTCCTTAATTTACTATATTTTGTAAATAGTTATTATTTTATTAAATTTGATGATGAATTTTTGTATTAGACAAATTGCAACACTGTTAACTGAAAGTGATTCAAGGGCTGGGAGTAAAAAAATAAGACAATTCAACATTTCTGAACTTCAGGTACTGGTCTCTAGTACCTATGAACATTACCTTATATGGCAAAAGAATTTTGCAGGTGTAGTTAAATTAAGAAACTTGAGTTGAAACTGTTACTCTAGATTATTGAAGTAAACTCCAAATGCAATCATAGGGACATATCGGGTTACAGAATTAGCTTTGATATAACAGAAATAAAGGACTGAGTATATTAGTCAGGGTTCTCTAGAATAACAAAACTTACAGAGTGAATTAATGAATATATATATGAATTAATGAATGAATAGATATGTGGGATTTATTAGACTGACTTACAGGCTGTGGTCCAGCTAGTCTAACAATGGGTGCCTATGAATGGAAGGTCAAGAATCCAGTAGTTTTTTTATTCATAAGGCTGGGCATCTCAACTGGTCTTCAGTATACAACAGAATCTCAAAGAAATAGGTTCTAATGCCAGTGAAGGAGTGGACTTGCTAGTGAGGGTGAGAGCTAGCAGGCAGAGAGGGAGACTTGTATAGAAGCTTCCAGCAGACGGTATAGCTCAAATTAAAGGTGAGTCTTCCCACCTCAAAAGATCTGGATTAAAGGTTTGTCTTCCCACCTCGAAGATGAAGATTAGAAGTGAATCTTTCTGCTTCAAATGTTTAAGCAAAAATTCCTCACAGGTGTGCCCAGCCATTTTGGGGGTTTTACTTAATTCCAGATGTAGTAGCCATCACAAGTCTACCCCTTGTCCACTTGACAAGCAATCATATCTCCTTATGTCATGATTAATTTCCAAATGAAAAACAGTAACCAGGTCGTAAGTATGATATAACCAGGCCTAGTATGATATAACTATCCTACGTACATCCACAAACTTATTATATTTAACCAGGTCATAACAATGCTCAACATAATATGACTACCCTCCTACAACTCCAAATGCAGATTTAGAATAGATGACAATGGCACTCAAGGGATATCCTTTTATTATCTCAAATTTAAATGTGATAATCATTGACATTCTCTTAATTGTTGTCAGACTACCTGATAAAGAAATTGAGGAAAGAAAACACAAATATCTTTACAAATGTATTCCTAATGAACTATGACAGAAATGCCTATTATAATCCTCATTTATGCAACTGTTTGTGTATTCTTAGCTGGTATTTATAGCTACCTTCCTCTCCTACACCTTCTGTATTTCCTCTACCCTCAGCAAGCACCTCAGCAGGTCTTGGCTGTTTTCCTAGAGGAGTGACCCATACCATTATTCCTGAGTGGTCCTGTACCGTTTGTCATCCTACCTAGATGAAGTGGTTGTAGTTTCCCAATAACATCACAGGACATAATAGCACCAAGAGACATCGTAAGGATCTCCTGGACTCGAGACACAATCTTTCTTTTTTTATTTTTATTTATTTATTTATTTATTTATTTATTAAAGATTTCTGCCTCCTCCCCGCCACCGCCTCCCACTTCCCTCCCCCTCCCCCGATCAAGCCCCCCTCCCTCGTCAGCCCGAAGAGCAATCAGGGTTCCCTGACCTGTGGGAAGTCCAAGGACCACCCACCTCCATCCAGGTCTAGTAAGGTGAGCATCCAAACTGCCCAGGCTCCCACAAAGCCAGTACGTGCAGTAGGATCAAGAACCCACTGCCATTGTTCTTGAGTTCTCAGTAGTCCACATTGTCCGCTATGTTCAGCGAGTCCAGTTTTATCCCCTGCTTTTTCAGACCCAGGCCAGCTGGCCTTGGTGAGTTCCCAATAGAACATCCCCATTGTCTCAGTGTATGGGTGCACTCCTCGCGGTCCTGAGTTCCTTGCTCGTGCTCTCTCTCCTTCTGCTCCTGATTTGGACCTTGAGATTTCAGTCCGGTGCTCCAATGTGGATCTCTGTCTCTGTCTCCTTTCATCGCCTGATGAAGGTTAATATTCAGGAGGATGCCTATATGTTTTTCTTATTTAGCTTCTCTAGGATCACAAATTATAGGCTCAATGTCCTTTATTTATGGCTAGAAACCAAATATGAGTGAGTACATCCCATCTTACCTCCATTGTGGAGCAGCAATCTAATGTCCCCTTAGTAATCTGGATCATTCACCCCTCCTAACACTTAGCCTGTTGGTTTAAGGTCATCAGAAGTCCAAAGTGTCCAGAGGGGAGTCTGAACTTCCAGTTCAATAATTTTCACTCTCCCTTTTGTGGAATAAAAACTTCTAGGCCAACAGAACTAAAGGTTATAGGAACAGGGAGCAAAAACTTTCCTAGTGGATCAGTGGTGGTAATAGTGAGTAGAACTATTCTGTTTTCTATCCCTTTATTCCTGGACCTATGGATTCTTGTTATGGGAGAAACAATACCATAATTTGGATGCTAATTCAAAGCATATACCACCTTCTGGAAAATCCTGTTCCAACTCTTGATATTTCTGTGACTTAATTGGCACTGTAACTCTGTCTTCAAAAGGCCATTTCATCTTCCTATCAATCCAGCTGCTTCAGGATTGTGGGAACATGGTAAGACCAGTAGTATCTTCCATTATTGTGGGCCCACTTTCACACTTCTCTGGCTGTGAAGTGACTTTCCTTGGTCAAAGGTGGTACTGTGTGGAATACCACGGATAAGGCATTCTGTAAGTCCATGGATGGTGGTTTTAGCAGAAGCAGTGCATCCGAGAAAGGCAAATCCATAACCACAATAAGTATTTACTCTAGTAACAACAAAATGTTGGCCTTTCTATGAAAGACATAGTCCAGTGTAGTCAGCCCGCCATATCTGAGGCTCAGTGTTAGTCTCTGTTTTTTCTGGATCTGGCATTCAATAACAACTACAGCCAGGGCAGCCTTGGTGAGTGGTAGTCCATGGTGCCAAGTCCAGGCTGGCCTCAAACTTGTGATCCTTCTGCCTCCACCTCCTTCAGCAAATCCTATACCAAAATTGACTATTAATATGGCCCATTAGGCCCTGACTAAAGTGTTCAACTGCTTTCCTAATCTAAAGTATGTTCCACCAGTAAGCAGCATGGTCAAGCCTGTCATGGCAGTATCACACTCCCAGGTACCAACTGCTGTCTCGATCACTGTTCTTTTGCTGAAACGAAACAGCATGACCACAACAACTCTTATAAAAGAAAACATTTCATTGGGGCTGGTTTACAGTTTCAGAGGTTTAGTCCATTATCATCATTGTGAGAAGCATGGTGTCATGCTTGGCAGACATTGTGCTGGAGAAGGAGCTGAGAGTTCTACATCAGGATCCACAGGCAGCAGAAAGGCAGAGTCACTGGACCTGGCTTGGGCTTTTTAAACCTCAAAGCCCACTCCCAGTAACGTATTTCCTCTAACAAGGCCACCTCTCTTAGTCCTTTCAAAGAGTGCCACTCCCTGGTCACCAAACCTTCAGATCTTTGGGGGCCATTTTCATTCAAACCAACAAATTAGGGTTGTAGTGCTATGAGGATTACCAAGAAATTTCCACAGCCTTTTGAAGTCAGGATTGCCAAGGAATGAATTCTCTCCAGATGGAACCAACCACAGTTATACCTTATTCTGATGTTTGAATTCTAAATTCAGAATTTAAGCCTTTAGGTAAATGATGGCTTGCTGAGCCAGGAAAGTATATATGAGTATTCCCATTTTAAAATGTAAAACACCTCAGGTTCCAAGCATTTAGGATAAAGAATATTTTACCTGTACCAGCAGAAATACTCCAGCTTAGACTAAAAGAGACAGATGACAAGCACAGGACAAGCTGAAAGAAGTTTTGGATTTCTAGAATTCTGCAGCGGGGAAGTAGACTGATGCGACTGCTCAGCTGCAAGCTCATGCTGCTTGCCGAGTGAAAAGGAGGTTAATGCAAAGGGAAGACTCTTGGGTTGTGAGGGTGGAACTTCGGCTCAGACGGGACCATCGAGCTACAGAGGACTACTGCTAAACCTTGAAATCGAATGACATGCCTACTTGGGTCTCAGAGTTTTTTGGTACTGCTAACTCTTTTCTTCCTTCCATTTTCTCTTTTTTTATGATGGGAATGCCCATCATTTGTAACCAATCCTGTCCTGCTACTGTATTTGAGGAGCAGAAATTGTATTTTCTAGCTAGAATTGAATGGAATGAAATAGAATAGAAATGGAATGGAAAGGAATCTTGTCCCAGAATGGCATATACCCAGATTCATATCTCATTAAACTCTTATTTGGACTTTTGGGGTGATAATGTTGGGAAGAAATTAAATTTGGTCCAGTGATATATGTTAAAGAGTTTGGGAGATCCTGAGGTGGGATAAATGTATTTTCTATGTGGAAGAAATGTGTATACTCAGGGCCCAAGGGGTGGACTGTGGAACTATGAGTAATGTCTCACCCCAGACATCCATTCATAATCCAGGAAACCTATGAGCATTATATTATGTGTCAATGAAGACTTAGCAAATATAATTAAGAATTTTAAGATATGGAAGAATATTCCTCCGATCTCAATTACTCAAGTGGGCTCTAAATGTAATCACACATATCTTTTAAA